TGTCAACGTTTGGAAGTATGAACTTCCAACTCATATTGAAACAATTGAAAGTAATCAAAAACTACGAAGGAGAAACTATCCATCCGTTTTGATGATATTGGGCATGAAGACTTACCATTGTAGAACAGTCCAAGATTTTAGCAGTAGAGCATATCTTCAATCTTGATAATAATGTACACTTTTCCTGAAAACTTTTATACTTAAGGAAATTTTGAGAGCAACTGAATAAGAAACGAACATTATCGAAGTTATGTTATAACATCATGATTTTAGATTTGAGAAATTCTTTTTTTAACGAGTTCTAACTTAGTGTTTTGTATGTTCGCCTGCTGTTACTAGCTCTTATACTAACGCAACTTATATTGTGTTATATCAAATATTCTTTACAGAATCATTTCTTATTATCCTGAGTTTCATCACAACAGTTTGAGCATGGTTGAGGAACAAAGAAGACTTCTGAGTTTGGTGAGAACCGAGGGTATAGGCTCGATGACATTCCTTCTCAAGAAAGTAGGTTCAGTGTCATTTTTTCATGAGCAGCACAGTTATAGGTAGATGAAAACTGCTTCAAAATGATAGATCGTGAAAATTCTTCTTTAATTCAAGTGTGTCTGAAGATATGTTGTGAAGAAGGGAGTAGGGAAAATGTTGGTACCGAAATTCTGATTTCTGAGTTGATTAAAAGAATTCTTATACTTCATAAGTAGGTTTGATTGATCTCATCTGTAATGCAAATGATCAACAGGGAAAAGGATGTCTCTCTTCATGAAAGCTTAATCCAACTAGTATTAGATTATTGTGTTCTACATTGGGACTCCTTAGTAGGTGCTGTTTCATATAATTGTGTGGATATATTTTCTCATATTCTGAGTAATCACACTAAATTCTGCGATGTTTGTAGGCTGAGGCAAGATTTCTATTGGTTCTTAAGTATGTGAAACTTTCAGGAATGTATGTTCTGTCGCTTCCAATATAATTTATAAAATTGTGCAGTCTGGCTCGAATTCGAAAGCTCGTTTGAAGTGTATTGTAGGTTCACATCGAAACCTACCATTCCTATAAACAATTTGCAGAAATTACTCCTCGATAGTTTTAACATAGTAGCTGAAGTGAACAAAGGTTTTGTTGAGGAAGCTTATGCTTCACTGGAGTACCCTAATCTTTCTGTCGCGGTAAACTTTGATTAGGATATTGTATTGAACTTCTCTCTAGGCAAGCGAGCTAATAGAGCAGGATATGTGTATCAAAAAAAACAACTATGAGTTTCATCTTCAACAAATCACTAGTATCTTCGTTAAAAACAGTGAGAATTCTAGAAGTGCTGTGAAGGTTTCTCTAAGACTGTTTCTGTCCAGAATTCTTTTTTCAGGATAGACTAATCCCGATTATTTTGAAAAGTTCTAACTATCCACCAACTATACTCTTGGATATTGTCTCTGCTTTAATAAGTTTCTAGTGATTTGTTTGTTGATGTACAAAAATATATTATGAACAGAAAATTCTTTGGAAAATCCACAGAACTTCGAAGCGCTCCTCGTTATTGTTCATCGCCTTGTTTACAAACCTCCAGTGCAAGAAAAGACACCTACATGGCTTAATTTCTTGAAACCCAAATCAGCGTACCAAGCTCTACTTAACCCTAGTTCGCAGGTTTCGATATATCAGTGCAATATAAACGATATACCTTACTTTGCTCCAGGTCCGTGTTGTCCTTTGGTCTCTCATAACAGACCATCCAAAAAAAACCCAACCGTTCACTAAGCTTGACTTTGATTTAATGAAATTTTTCCTGACCACTAATAGTGCTGAGCAATTACCTACAGTGCGTCAAAAAATTCTATCAGGCTTCCGAAATGTTCGTTTTTCTTAAGACACTGATATAGTACCTATACTTCAGGTTTTAGAACGGCTTTGCGAGTCTGGCGAGAATCATAAACTTAAACATGAGGACGGTTCGATAATATTAAATTCTATTTCTGATTTCATCAAGTGAGCAAAATTTATCTCAAAGTATATATAAGCCTAGGTTCACAATAAACTTGGCCTTTGATTGTATCAGTACCGAAGCGAATTTTTCGCGGAGGCTGATGGGATTGTACTTTATCGAGTTTATCTTCGCTTCAAAATATTTAGAAACCAAACAAAAAAGTAGATTGATTTCTGAAAAACCGTATTTCTTAAATATTTACAGGCAAAGTTTTGAAGCACCTGGAGCTTGAGAAAGAGCTCACACAGGATCGATTTTTTAAGCTGTTGTCAAATTTGGATAATGAATATCAGATTTGTCAAATGACCGCTATGAAGCTCCTTCGAGTTCTTTACCCACGAGAAAATATAGACTTTGTAACATATTTTCTTTATTCTGGCCTGAAATCGTTTCCTCTTACAGGATTTCAAAAAGTACACTGAGGACACATTAGTACTGATCAATTCTGTAAGAACGCAAGATACTTTAGCTTCCGGATACAGACTTCAGGTAAAGTGTCATTGAATGTTGAATTAGTTCTTTTAGTACTCCCTTATAAACGTCTCAGGAGCTGATATCTCATTGTTAACAATTTTACTTCAAAGATGCGAATTAAATCTAGCCAAAGTTAAGGAGAAATTGGTAAGTAAATAAAGAAAACCTCAAACGTCTTAATCCCAGATGAATATAACAACGTATTCTCTTCATTCTTTACTGAATGCTATTTCTTACTTATTAGATGAAAGAAGAAATAAAATTATGTGAGTTTTCATTCTGGTTTATCGGATAACTTTCTTTACTTGAGGGAGCATGATAGAGAATTCCTCGATACCTACACAAGCAAGTTACTCAAAATGTGTTTCGAAATAGCTGAAATAGTATGAAAATTTTATTTACCTCTCGCAGTTGATGTTTTCATGTTACCCCTGTGGTTCACTCGTTGTCTCCGGAAGGTTTTATACCTGAGGAAGAGCTAGAAGTATTGAGTACGTCATTTTTTTGCTGAATATTTATTCCAATACCTGTAGCCAAACTGTCGAACGCTCAAGTACAAGTCATAGCCGACAGGTCTCAATTACTTCTGGCATGCTGTTGGAGAGCGCATAAGTTTGTTTCGTCGATTTTCACTATTGTCGTGAATGGGGTGATTCTTTTTATTGCTTTTTTTTAACCATACTGGAGTGATTTGAGGGTACGGACTTGGATCCAAAAGTTATCGAGGATATGGCTAAATACTTTTGGCTACAACTGACGGAATGTAAACACTGTGGAGCGTTTGAGAGCGCAGTTGACGGGTTTAGTTTGTTTTTTATACTCATCCTCGCTGATGTGTTTTAGGTTTTACTCATTGTGCTCCTATTTATGGAAAGTGGAAGATGATAGTCTTCCTCATCCCGCTCGATGGGCAGAAGAGATCACCTTGGCTTTAGAAGGAAAAAATGGTCAAGTTTTATAACCTTCTGAGTGACAGTACCATTTTTTAGATTTGCAAAAACTTTGTTCGACAAGAAGAAGTGGGGGAGTCCCTCATTTGGTCACTTCTATTATGGCCTCGGAACCATTGGACAGAGAAGGAGACAAATCTATTTTTTCCAGAGTTTTTGATTCATTGCTCAATATGGAAGCTAAGGAGTTGGAATATAGGTTTTCAATCTCAAATGTTCGTACTAAAATCCTCTTCATAGAGTTCATTCGTTGAACGTTCTGAAAGCAATAATTTCGTCGTCTAAACTTGGTGAACGTATTCTTTTCGCTGTTGAGGTATACGATCCAATAAAATGAAATTCAAGACTTCGTTCAGAGAATATGTGTTGTTTCAATCAACTCTTGTTCTGCAGAGTCCTGGTCTGAGAGGAATGCAGGAGCTCAGCTGGCCGCTGCCCTACGTATCCGTATTTTTGGAGTTTCTCGAAACAGTCAGAAGGAGCATGAAGTGGACAGTAAAAATAAATTGAGTGCATTTGATTTCTTCTCGAGGCCAGTTTTCTATCTCAAGAAAAATAGTAAAGAATTGTATACAGATATCCTGCACTGTATGAGAAGCTTTATGAACAACTTCAAGGAACAACAACTGATAATTTCAAATGCTATCCAATTTTAATTTTTCTCTCTCATCTAACACCAACTGTTGCTGAGAAGGTTTGTGACAACTTCTACATCAAAAGTTCACTCATTCTTTCAGTTCCCTTTGGCACCGTTCATTCCAGCTTGTCTGCATATTCTTTTTACTGCCAAATCAGAGAAACTAAGGAATTTAACAGCAGCCACAATAACTTCCATCTCTCAAGAACAGGTTTGATTCTGCAGAAGGCAGCTTCATCCTCACTGCTTTTTTAATAGGATCTTTCCTGGGTTTTGCATCAAGCAAAAAAGTGCTCCGAAAAGTTTGAAACAGAAAGTGTGGCCCATAGCATTCTTATATTGGTTTCAATCGGATTGTGTCTCTCATTGATCGTTGTTTTTTTCAGATTAACTATACTTATAGAAAGTTGGCAAAAATCAAGAAACACAATGAAGTAGCTTCTGAACTTCTCCCATGTGTTCTTCCATTCCTAGAGCGACGAAATCTGTCGGATTGCAGCCCTAATTCCTAAAATAATGTTCTCTTTCAGCTGTGATTACAACTTGAATATCCTCTACACTATCTTAAACAGTTTGAAAGTTAGTTTCCAGCCGATCATTTCGAAAGAAATCAATTTGACCTGGGTAAATTTCTGTTTTCACTACGTGAAAGTATACTTTCACTTAGAGGCCAATTGCGGCTTCCAACATTCTTCAGAAGAATGTGCGCCCACATATTAAAGAAAAAGCCTTAAGGTTTGAATATTATCGCACTTTCCAAAAAGTTAGAGATGAGTAAGACGTGTTTAAATTATTTAAAATAGGTTTCTGAGTTTTCGGGAAGAGATGAACTCCTGGACTGGGCCTGCTCGGACCTTTCTCAATGCAAAATCGAACGAGAATTCTTCGAGGTTTTTTATTTTTTTGTGTCTTGTTTGAATGATAATACAAGGTTCTATCCTTCCTCCTCAACAACTTGGAAAGTAAGACGGAGCATCTCACCCAGAAGTTGAAGAAGACATTGCGGACACCTAAACTTTTCACATCGTTTGCTCTGTCATCTAACTATTAGTGTGGTACGTGATTTCAGATTGAAATCTTGGTTGTTGAGTAAGAAGCTTTATTACTCTATTTGCGTGCCACTAAACGTGGACAGTGAGGATTTTTCATGGCTGAAAACTGTCTCAGAAAACGATGAGGATGACAATCTAAAGGAAATAGCATTGGAAGTCTCGGATTTGCTATTATCTTCACGTAAATTTTTTCTACATCTGTTTCATATGAAAATATTACAGACAAAACTCCTGAGTTTATCGCTCATCTGTCATTATTCTTGCAAGATGAATGTGAGGAGATAAGAAATATGGTGAGCGCATTCATCCAACGCTTTTTTGAGCATATTTTTTCAGGCCGCCAAAATAGTTTCGAAGCATTTCCTGCAGAGGAACATGCCACTGTCTTCTGAAATTTGTTTGAGGCTCATTATGGGGGATCCGGAAATTCATAAAAATTACATCAAACTTTCCAAATATTCCGAGCGAAAGGCATAATTACCCAAGTTACTTTTTACTCACTATCTTTTCAGAGAGATGCTCTGTTTGATGTTTGTAACTCGCGGCCCTATGCGGAAGAGAAAGTCTTTGGAGAGAATCATTTTGTAATGGATTTCGTTTCTAACATGCTGATTCATATGGATCAGGAGAAACTAAATTGAAATTTGATTATTATTTGTTAGTTAGGTGTATTCGGTTATGTTATGGTTGTTGTTGTAGTTGTTATTGTTTTTGTTGATTTTTTTTATTTTTCCGTTAAGTGTGTATCTTATAAATCCCTCCAGTAATTTTTTTTACCAGAAAAAACAATTGAAGATAGTTCTACAAAGAAAAACTAAAAAAAAACCGCCCTGATTGATCATTTCGATATGATTTTCAGCGTACGCATGTCGCGTGCCAATTGATGTTATCTTAAGAAAAAAGATTTGAAGCTAATACCCATTTAAGGGAAAGAATCGGGTGGTCGTTGGGAAAGGTCGTCTAAGGACATTCTTATTTGTGTTGAAACAACTTCCAAATGGATGATGAAGGAAACTTGATAACAGGTGCAGATTAGTTTGAGATGGAAGAAACTTGAAATTCGAAGAACATTTAGACGTAGAATTTTTATTTCGAAAATATCTATAAATATGCAGTCGAACACTACTTTAAAAGCGATAGGAAAAAGAGAGAAAGAGAGAGAAAGTGGGAGATAGAAGGAGGCGAAGAATTGAGGATATTGGATAGGAACATATAAAACAGATTGTCGTGGGTCTGCGGAACTTTACAAGAGTGAGAGTACAAGAGAAAAATGAGAAAAGCAAGGTTATTGAAGACTGTCTAAGGATGTGGCACGAAGTTCGAGGAAGTTGAGGTTAAAGAAAAATAATGAAATACATTTGCATACTGAAAAAGTTTTTAAAAAAAAGTTTGTCAAGAGAATCGTTGGAATAAGACTTATTAGGAACAACATATAGGCGAGCATGCACAATAAAGCTTCTTTTTTTTCTTAAAAAGGTAATGAAATATGATTGAAGGATTGAAACACATGTAGATCTACAAAATGTAGAGGAGAATAGGGAAGTGAAGGAGAAGCTTCATCTAAAGATGAAAGAAATTGGTCATTATGCAAAAGAAGAATTGTTTCTTCTTGAGTGCTAACATACACTGATTACAGACAAGAACAGATGAGGAGATTTGATACATGTAAAGATGAAAATTCCTTAAATACTTTGTAAGTAGAAAAGTAGCTATGAATGTGGATAGTCATTGCTTACAAGGTTTTCGAACAATCTCAGAAAAAGAGGAAAAAAACAAAAAAAAACGGAAAGAGAATCACATCAGAATAATACTGACTTTATACTTGGACTGTTTCTTCTATATATATATAGATATATATATATATATATATGAGTATAAAAAATCTAACACAATAAGCCGGAAACCGGTTTAGAAATTTAGGGAGAAATATACAAACAACTTTTGTTTCCTTCTGGACACAATCTTCTTGTCTTTTCACAGAAAGTTTCGAAAATTAATGTCAATTGTCCGAAGAATGGAAGACTATTTCAAGCATCGGGTTAAATAGGAATATGCTCAAAAGCCGGGGCGTTCGCTAGATGTCCCTGCCATATTGCTTCATTCCAGCCTTGAGCTCCGTTTACCGCTGCGGTAAAGTTAAAATCATAAATGGAGGGTAATAACTCGGCTTCGGGAAAGTTCTGGACGAAGGGTTGGTGACCGAAGGACATAGTCAAAGGGTCAGAAGGATCGGTTGCAATGCTGCTGTAGCCAGAAGACCCGGAGGAGTGAGACCGCATATCATCCTAAACGTTTTAGATTTAATATTCATAAGCTCGATCCGATCAAACCTGATCCGAAGAGTTTTGTTGTTGAATTGGAGATGATTGCTGCTGAGTGAAAAAATGACCAGAAGCTTGTGCATGTCGGATCATTTGTGATGAAGCAGATGAGTTTGGATTTCCTTGCTGATTTTGAACAATTGGAATAGGATGAGAAGACGAGTGGTAGTTAGAATTGATTTGAGTCACTTCCATCTGAGGCTGAAAGGATGCTTTGGTTGTAGAAGAGATAAGTAGTAGAGAAAGTATTACACTTACAATTAGTTGCATTGGCATAAGAATAGGTGTTTTGCTGGGAGGGCTTCCACCAGTGGAAACACTGAATGGACAGGGGGCTGAGTAGAAATCATCATAAAATCCTGATTCTGGAGTTAAAGGAGCATGCCCGAACTCCGACGGAGATGGGTATGCTGGATGGAACAAACGGAGCTCCTAAAAACATTGTTTAGGAATGAGACTATTTTGCTTGAATAACCTGTTGTTTCTGTTGCGAAATCTTGAGATCGTCAGAAGGGGAGGAAGATATGAATGGTGGTACTGTATGTACATCATGTTCGATTTTCATATTTTTCCCGATGGGGTAAGAGTCTTGTGAGCCATTTATAGCTATTCCCATACCTCCCATTTGCTGTGAAGACCTGCAATAGATGAAAGTAAGATTCAGAGTAATTGATATCAAAGCTGACCGTTTCTGGCCCTTTCCTCTTGGAGACGCTGGCTGACTGTTTTGATTTGTTTGTGGATTCTGTTGTGCTCCCTCAGTATTTTTCTTTGCCTTCTTTCTTGGTTTGTATTTATAATCCGGATACTCTTGCATGTGCATGAGACGGAGTCTTTCCGCTTCTTGTATGAAAGGAGCTTTTTCAACTTCTGACAACTGGCGCCACCTGGAGCCTAACTAAAAAAAAGTTGGTTACAATGGTTATTCATATATATAAAACAAACCTGTTTGCTGATTTCGGCGTTGTGCATATCTGGCTGATGCTCACAAATTTTTCTTCTCTCCAATTGTGACCAAACCATGAATGCATTCATAGGTCTTTTTATATGATTGCTTGATTTCTTGCAATTGGTGGCATCAGTATATGGTGTTGTGCTAGCTTCGCATGATGTGCGTTGTTGAGGTTGAGACTGAGAGCTCTGTTGCACTGCTGGCATTTTTTGAGACACATTGAAAGCCTGAAAAGCCTTAAATGAAGAAGTGCACGGTATTCTTTGAAAAGCATCCACTTACTTTCTGCGTCGCTAGTTGAACATCCCACTGATGTGTCATCTGTGGATGAGCTATCATCGGTTGCGAGATCATGGAGTTAGAAAAGTTGGCAATTGGCCAACAGTTCTGAAAATGCATGAGTTGAAGTATTATCATTGATCACTGATAAGATTCCATGACAAGAGTATATAAGCAAGAAAAGAAAAAGGAAGCAATGCGAGAATTGGTAGTAGAGCTGCTCAGGCACCTTCAGTTCTTTCCCAATTGACTCATTCTATTTTTTTGCGGAATTTTTGAGGAATAGAATGAAAATGAAAAAACGCAAAGGTCAGAAGAAAGGAAAAGAAAGTGTAAGTAAAAGATTTGATGATTCTATATATGCTTTACTATCCCATATTAAGATGAATCTGTTAGTCGATAATGAAGAGAAAGCAAGACGAGAGAATAACGATAATCATAATGATCAAGAATGGAAATGATTCATTGAAATGGAAAAAAAAATGAAATTTTTGCGATTTTTCAGAGTTATTTCCATAAATGTTCTTTATTCTGAGGTTAAAATTATTATTTATTAATTTGAAGATCTTTTCCATATTGGGAACACGAGAAAAAAAATTATTCGGTAATTAGATAAAAGCAGAAGTTCTAAAGGAAGGACATCAAGATTCTGGTGAAAACTTGTAAAGAACATAAAGTGAGAAAACGACTGAGAAAGAGAAAGGAGAGGAACAGAGGAACAGATGTAACATGAGAGATGAGTAAAGTATGTAACCGTTTTAGTTAGCTGCCGTTTACTGTGAGATAATTATTTACCGAACTTAGAGTGTTGTGTGGAATCCATGGAAGTTGAATTTAAATTTTTATGAAAATTGGAGTCTATATATGAGATAAATGGCCTAATGGAGAAAGTTCAAATGAAATGGAATATCCAGGTAGAGTACAGTCATGCAGAAATGGATGGGGTGAAGACATTTGTGAACAGAGAGATTAGGAGAGCGAGAAAGCGAGAGAAAGAAGTGCATAAAAGTAGAAAATGAAGAGGTCGATCAATCGAGGGGATAGATGGATCGGGAATTTCATGGAACTTGCACTATCGACATCTCAACTATTCGGGGGTATAGAAGATTTTAATCTTACTGGATGCAGCAGACGTGAATTCAGATGACGATTACTGAACATTTTTTTGCGGGTAAAAAGTAAAGCCTTGATAGCTAAAGAGATCTCATTTCTTTAAGAACAGTCAAAAAATAAAACTTATAGATTTTTGCTTCTGGAAGTACATGATTAGCAAGATGATTCGGGAAAGGAAAAAGTTGAAAAATAGTTTAAGGCGTTTGCTGAAAGTTGTTCTCGTCCGGTGGTGTAACGTTGCCTCGAAGGGGATACTAAGTTCACGGTTACATGGGAAGAAGCTCCAACTGTCTCCCAATTATACAGTCTTTTGCTTCCTCTACACTATCTCTCGACTTGTCATTAAGTCAGATAGGAAAGAGAAAGTTTAATGAACGAAAAGAAAAAGAAGGAAGAAGCTGGAACTGGCAAAAACCGCTTTAAACGACATGCCTCGAGGCATTTGGATCGGGAGAAAGGATGATTTGATGTGATGCCACTCGATACCAGGGTCAAACAAGGTGAAAGCAGAAAAATTACAAAAATTGTTAAATAAGTTCATTAGAGACTACTCAAAACAATTATTTTGGACTAACTTAAAGCTCAGATCTTCATATGACGAGACTCGAGACTATTATTAACAAAGGAGTATAAGATTATTATCGTATCACTGTCTGTACACGCATAGCTTTCTCTCATTTTTGTGAAGTCATCGAAGAGCTTCTTGTTAGTTAACATTTCGTTTGGTAAGAAGATAAGAGAGGTATAATTCTGGAGAAAAGATAGTATAGATGAAGACTAAGCAGAAGCAGTCAGATGGAAAAGAAACGGAATAGCGAGATGTGGGCGTCGAACCCGTTCTCGAAGCCCCTTCGCTCTTTACTTCGTTCTCTCTCCCTCTCTCTCTCATTTTCGCTCTCTTACCCTCTACTAATACGCTAGCTTTATCAGTTTCTCTTTTTCATTCTCAACCTTATTAGGCTACTACCACCTTGTTTCCTCTCTCAACCTTTTGAACGGGTTATGTTCGGGTGGCATCACGAGAAACCAAAAATATTTAAAACAGAAAAAAACTTCAAAAAACGAGAGTTAATGATTATTTTTAAAATGATTATTACGATTGACTTGTAAAAAAAACTTAATTACTCGTTTCCGTTGACATTTGACAGTTTCCAGCTTAACGCATGGCAAATATGGTCAAACAGGCTTCGAGATGTCAAATCTAAAACTTGTTGGGCATCACAAAAAGTTTGGAAATAAGTAAAATACTTGTGAAATAATATATAGAGAAAAAAAGAAAAATAAGTGATGAAGATGATTAGATTTTAATTTTATGAAACATACCATGGATAGTTGACGATAGAGGTTTGAGTAAAGGCTGATTGATGACATGTCAATACGAATGACTTTGGTAATACTAAAATCTATGCTCATTACCACAGAAGTTCATTCATTATTTTTGGTTTTATTCACTTTTTATATATATTGTATGGGAATGTGGTAGTTTACATGGTATTATATCTTTAGGTTATGAACGAACGAAGTTTGAACATGGGAAAACGTGAAGTAAGGGCAGGGGGACGATTTCATATAGCCTTCAGCTAAAGGAAAATATTTGTCTGAAAATTACAGTCTTTTTCACTCTCTTTTTTTTTGTGCAAATTCATGAGAATATCAAAAGAAAACGCAGAAATGAGTTTTGATTAGAAGCATAAACGATAATACTGATGGAATAACAAGAAAAAAGGCATAACTAGCATGGGAAAGAAGATGGATGTTTGGCTTTTCTTTTCATCTTTATTTTCTCGTTTAAATCATCTTATTTCTCGATTACTGTGTAAAAACAGTTCCTCTCATGACGAGAAGGTATATGGGAGGTTGAAAGAGAGGGAAATTAAGGCAGAGAGGGAGCGAGAGAGAGAGAGAGAGAGAGAGACTGAGTGGAGAAAGGTGAGAGAGATGGAACAGAGATGAAGAGGTGTAATCTCGATGAAGCAGTAAGATAGTGTTCGATTACAGTCAACTGTCTCAGTTTATGCCTGGGGACATTATGAAAGGTTGAATCTTCATTAAGAGAGAGAAGAGAGAGTGAGAGGAGGGGAAGCAAGAGTTAGAGTGTCTGAATTTTATTCAGAACAAGATAGAGAGAGAGAGAGAGAGAGAGAGAGAGAGAGAGAGAGAGAGAGAGAGAGAGAGAGAAGCAGAAGTAAGAAATCAGTTGAAAACCGGTTCAAGGCGAAGCATCAGTACGAAGAAGCCGAGTAGTGACGTTCCTGGTATGATATACGAATAATGCTAATAGTAGTAATGATAATAATAATAATAATAATGTGAAACTGTAGAAAGAACAGCAAGGTATTGAAAGAAAGTTATTCTATGATCTGAATCGAGTTCTAAAATTAAAAGAGAAGAGGCTCAGTTAATGAGCTTTGCTTTCTTTTTGCTACATAATGAAAGAAAAACAATTTCCTTAGCTATATGATATAGTTCATGAGATGCATGTGAATCATTTCGATAGAGAGGGAAGGTATGAAAAGCGAAAGGTGCTTGACGTGTAGATTTTCGACTCTGTTCATCTGGGGCAGTATCATCTCGTCGTAAGAAGAGAAAAGAAGATGTTATAACAGATAAGCGGATCGTGCCCTTTTCCGTTTCGAAACTTTGAGAGGTTAGAGAAGTATTCATAGCTAGAACCGTTTTTTCATTCATACTGTGAAAGCAGATATGTATATGAGTTAATAGGTATTACTGCAAAAAAGGTTTTTCGTACGTTTCAGTTGATAATCATAGATGGTTGACACATTCTGCAGATTTGAAGAAGTCGTTTATCAGTGGGATGATAAATGATATTCCTTTTGAATATATTTAAAAATGATGAAATTCAAATACTGGCAAAGTTGAAATAATTTTAGGCCTCAATCAGGTCGTCATTGACGGCGGGAGACGATACGACGAAGTCTGAGAAAAATTTAACGTCGTCTATGAAGAGAACGAAAGAGAAACAGAACATCAGGAGATTTCGAAGACCTTAAACAGTCAAAGATGATGACGTTTCGAGAAAATATGTCATCGATGTCCAGGTGAAAGTTTGATAGGAAAGGATGATGATGCTGATGAGAGGGGAAAAGGCTGAGAGTCTCATATCTCTTGCTATGAAATGAAACGAAGAATTCAAAAAACACTTGAAAATCAAATAAGCTTATATTGTGTTTTCTATGATATGCAAACTATATGAAGACAGACTATCATTCTATTGAGTGATAAGTTAGAAATTGACTAGCAAATGAGGATAATGGACGTTTCTAGTCGACTTCATTGACTCTTCCACGAAGACGACGTCGACCCCCTACAGAGGAAAATGCGAGTACGGCGAGCTCCCGCAACGGTCCAGCCAGCATTGTGTGATAAACCAGATTGAGTTAAACTGAGGAGAAACTCTTTTTCTATAACTTCGTACAAAAGAAAATAAAACTGACGATGGAAGTGTGCGATAAGTAGAGATAAAAAAAATCAAATTCACAACAACTCTCTAAGGATTGGTAAAGGCAGATGTTGACCGAAGCTTTAACAAGCACGTATCAAATTAGACTAGATACAGGTTCATTGATAAATATAAATAACTAATCAATAAGACAACGTACTGAAATGAATCAAGTTTTTGTGATTCTGAAATTCCGTAAAAAGCACATGTGAACGTAAGTACGCGGTAAAAGAGTGTTCGCAGTGAAAGTAATAGAAAAAGTATGAAAAAGAAAAAGAGGATTTACAGTAACTTTTTTTCCTTGTAAAAGCAAATGTTAAACGAAGAAAGATAGGGTGAATCGGGAGAGAAGTGCCGTTTGCATAAGAAGACAACCTGCTGAGAAGCTCCAAGAAAAGCCGACTCTCCTTTTTTTTTCTGCTATGGTATAAAAAAATATTTATTGATGCCAGTTGTCTCTATATCTATATACATATAGTTTACGCAATTCATTATATAATAATATGGCTAATGTTATTGTATGAAATATAGAAAAGCTTCATCATCAGGTTGTCCATCATAGCAA